AGAGAGGGTGCAGTTTGGAGGAAAAAACGGAAAACTGATGAAAGGCACGTAACGCGCACACAGTAGTGGGAAAGAAAACGAAAAGAGCACACTATGACAAGCAGCGGTTGATTTTTGGACGGGGTACGGGCGGGCTGATTACCGGCAAGCTTGTTGACGTGGCCGATCTGCAATCAGACAAAAAGAAACCTGGGCGTCAGATGAGGCAGTTTAGAGGGATTTTTCAAGAGCAGAGGATAAAGGGGAAGGCGCGGGTGCTTTCGGCGCAATCATGATTTTGAAACTCGAAACATAAATGTAGATTGTGAGTTTGGCGAGACAATACGCCGGAGGCCCATACAGCCTCAGCGCCCTTCGACACAAACACTACCACGAGAGCAAGCGGATGCAAGGAATCGGACAACGAGAAGAACCAACTGCTTGACCTAACGTGGGGCGGGAGAGTGACAGCAAAAACAAGTTGAATAGTGCGCGAAGCCTAGGAACTGTGAGCATTTGTCGTAGACGTTTGGGGGTATGTGACAGTCTAGCGACTCAGCAATCCATGTAAATGTGCAACAGGAGGCTGTCATTGCACAGTCTTGAAAGCGCAAGAGGAGGTAATGTTTTCTGGTGGACAGACCGAAATTTCGAGTAGTGATCGGCTTAATTCAACTTATGTTTGCGGGCGTTCGACAGTGTCCACATCTTAGCCCAAAGTTGGTGAGGAAAAAGTCTGTGACTCCTTTAGTGGGGCACCGCCATCACGGACGAGACCCCAAAAATACGCATAAACTGACGTCTTTTGCCAGCACCCTATGCAGAAACTTGCTTAACGACTTGGGAAAACAACAGATCCAAATACTTGACGAGCTTCAATAAAAACAGTACAAAATAAGCATGCACGCAAACCTAGGGAAGTCGTTGTTGGTGGATGGGCTGTAGATCGAAAGAACGCGAGGCAGATTACACTATCGTTCTAAGCTCCATTGCCTAGTAAATGATATTCTGAAGAGAGAGATAAGATTGTTTGTTGGCTGACTAGAGTATGGCAGAAAGAAAAACAAGATTTTTTTGCGTCAAAACTCTAAATTGACAGAATGCCGACCAGAAGATACGAACCTGAAAATAACACAGGATGTTAAGAATACGCAAGGCTGGATCAGGGAAGAGCAGGTGGACACGCGAGAATAAACATTCACGTACATGAAAGACAATTGGCTGGGGCGGCAATGAAACGAATTCGGAGGTGTTTCCTTTACAAGTGATGTCACAGGTCGAGCGAGTTCGCAACTTCCAAGCGTTCCGGTGTGAAAAAACTTTCCTCAGCTCGCCTGAGAAGGCGTTCCACGTCGGGGGACAGGGTTCGGCCTGCATCAACGGCGGTGAAACGCAACGAGTGCAACAACTTCTCCTTCATTTCGGGTCTGATTTTCCATTTGGACAGTCGGCCCTGACCCTTCAAGAATGGGGTGAGAAGTCAGCGATCATAACGGACGGCGCAGTGTACAATAATGAGAAGCCTAAGATTTTCAAAAAGTGATCTGAGAAGGGCACTTGTTTGCACTAATGCTAGTGAGGATATGGATCGCTATCATTGGCAGAAAATCTAATGCAAGACCACAAAGTCAAAACTTAAACTTGTTCAGCCACCAGATATGCTGCAGAATGAGGAACCTAAGGCAAGGCAATGCATTGAAAGGATGCGTGGCTTACCTCTAACTTCCGCGCGACACCATAACGGACAGCGCATCTGATAAACGATGTGGTAGGTGTCGCCCCCCGCCCCAAAAAAAACCAAGACGGCTACGCAAAGTCGCAGGAAGGACTCACGCGCAGTATTACATCTTGGGAGGAAAGACCGAAACCAAAGGAGAACACTACTAGCCAAGCACCAGGACTGCGATTTGATAGAACAGCTTTGAGGACGAGTGGCACATCGGCTGAAGGTAGGGCAGAAATGGTTACCGGATAACAAACACTACAAATCCAGATGAGACCTGCCAACAGCCAGACATGCGTCTACACAACAGCATCAGCACAGGCTTCAAAGTCCATTTCTATATCCTTCTTCTTCTTTCACCACTGCCGCCGCCGTCACCACTACCAGTTTTTTCTTATTCAGCAGTAAGGCCTTCTCATTTAGGCAGCTGGACCACACGATGAGGTGGAGCAAACACCGATTGAAAACCTATGGTGCCTGTACTAAATAACAAGTGCGCGTGAGGCCCTATGTAGACCGAGTAACCGTTTGTAAGCTAGGCGCTAGCACATTCTACGGGGTAAGATGACGCGAGGAATTCTCAAGACTCTCCTCTGTGCCAAAACCTCCAGAGAGAAAGTTGGCTACAAACTGTCCGTCGTCGCAGTTGGATTTGAATCCTGAATGGGATACCAGGAGGCATTACGTGCAGCGTCAGGAGACGAGGTTGACACATTAATTTATATCCGGGTGTACTACTACGGCAGCCGTAACCCAGTTTTGAATGGGAGTCATACATTATTGAGTAAATTAGGGCTAAACAATAGTCTGCGGGACCATACTCACAAGAAGCGCGCCTGCAGGACGGGCGTGTACCGAGAGATCGCGAGAAGCGAGCGGGCAGTTGCGTGAATAACTCGTCTTTTGGCACACTGAATTATGTTTTAGGAGGACGATGAAAACGAGCTGAAAACGACCATACTTGCAAAGATGACCAGTAGGAACAAAAACTGCAAGGTTTGTTAGATGGAAGTACAACGAGAGGATAAGTGAGATTCGATCTTAAACGGTACCTTACGATTTTAACGGGGTCGGGAGACATATCCCCCCAGCAAAAGTTCGAAAAAGGCTTGCCGAACGCTTCCAAGTAGAAAATACTGCCCAGGTGGGATTGTAAAACTGATTAGCAGGGAACATAATCCTAGCGCACATCTTACAGGTTAGTATGTTGGTTTCCAACTGAATATTTTTACACACGTCTGCGTAAACCGTATGCGGAAGAATATAGTCATTGACGCAGTCCATTGTTCCATTAACTTTCGACGAGTACATCAAATAAATCTGACTTGACAGGTAGGACTTCCAAAACGCTTCTCATACCATTTTATAGAAAGTGAAGCCTTCGCCAAATTTGGTAATTGAAAGAAGGGAGAATTTATATTTTTAAAGTTTACTAGTAACTGTACATTTCGAAACACAAACTGTGCGGTCACCTGGTCCTAAGGCTGCCAAACGACATACTGTTACGCATGTTCCTTAAGACAGATTATGGTGGTCATACTTCCCCGTATACATGGAATCCAACTGCATATTTAAGAAGCAGTATTATTAGACTTTAGGATAAGAAACATTATTACTAAACATAAGGGCGTTCCAAAAATCGTCATAATTACAAAAAAACTCTTAAAATCGGAATTTACTCCTAGTTCCTTCGTTTCAAATATAGTAGATGTGTTATCTCATGAAATGCTAACTGAAATCCTGAAATGTGTTTTCAATTCAAAAAGATTACTAAAGTAGGGTTCCAATGCTGATTATCGTTCACCATTGCCACGAGATATTTTGGTCAGACCAGGATGCCGACTTTTGAATGGGCTTTTTTCGGCCGTCTGCAAAAGCGGCTACTTGAGTAGTATGAATTTTCCCCACATATTTTCGATGCGCCTACAAATTCCATTTTATTTTATAGAAAATGTACAGAAAAATATTCCTTCCTGTAGTCATTGGGCAACAAATTACGTCTTCTCTGAGTTTAATACATAAAGAAAGCGTGTCCTTCGGTTTTCAGGGACTTTTGCAACTCCCGAATAATTAAGGATCCGACCTGATCTTACATTTGTATTCAGGATTTTTAAACCACAAGTTGCATACGTTCCCTCATAGGAATATCACATATTTCTCTATGTTGTTAGAAAGGCGTTCTGCAGCACTCATAAGACTGCGCAACAGATGTGTACTAGATTGTACGCTTTATATGTATAATTAATAAACGTGTTGATGAGAGGCCGTGTGAATGGATATTTCACGGCTTAAAAGTCTCATAGTTTGGAATTTTTTTAAAACTAAAAGACCCTTTCTCTGAAAACAACTTTGAATAAAAGGTTGTCTGCTACCAGATGAGTACAAGAGTGTTTTTTTGCACACTTTCTATAAAACATAATTGAATTATTAGGGGCATCCGAAATAAAGGGAAAAATCATAATGCTTAGGCAGTCATTTTTGGGGAGTGTAGCACTTGCTGGCGGGCGAGAAGAAGCTCATTCAAAAGAGTGGCGTGGCTGAAATATTTTAGGATTATGCTGCAACCTGATTAACATCAGAACCCCATCTATGCAATCTTTTAGAATCGAAAACACATCATAACTTTGCCAATATTTCATGAAATAGCATATCTACTGTAGGTATGATAGACTTTTTACAAGCATCGAAAATCGGTGAAAAAATACACCCTTTTGCCGCAATCAAGTTAAACCTATGCCTGAAAGGACTTTTGGTCAAAAGCTCCTATGCTATCTTGCGGTAACCAACTTTATATTACGTCCAACTGAAAATAAGTTCTGCAACCTCACCTAAACACTTACGAATACATGCACCAGTAATCCAACATTCGCACCTACTCAAGAGCTTCAACGCATGCCGTGCATAAGCTATGATGCGAAACACGGAAATGCGGTTGAGTTCATGTCATAGGTTTTTACGGTATTTCGAATAAATGTTCAGCTCAGACGAGTACCCTGACCGACTTCGAGGCAGGGAGGAATCCGATAACTTTCCAGCCGATGCAGTCAGTTGTCGGCTAGCAGGGAGGTACCACCGTCGGGACACCTGTGAGTAAGGGCTTATTGAATGGTCTACAGTGTCGCTAGAGAGGAACTGCCACTCCAGAACTGAAAAGGGACAAAGAGATGGAAAAGTGCGGCAGGCCTGCCTATTTGTAAAGCATCGTCGGGAGCTGTGCAGACAGAGGCGAGACGAGTTGGAGATTGGCTGCTTATTTATTCCCACAAAGTCCGGTTAAATCTGATACACGAACTTTTGCCGATCGCTCCTAGGCAGCTGAGCTCGACGAGTTTAACATCCAACTTCAAGCACACAGGATTCCCACGAATGGCGGAGTCTAGCACAAAAAGTACAAAATACTTATGCGCAAAGAAATACACGCTTCTATTCAGAAGAGGCACCATAAGGATGCATTTCGTTACTTAGAAATTGCAGTCTTCATTGTGACAGGTAGCAGACTAAGGGTGCCATATGAAACTTAAAGAAACGCGTTCGTTTTTTCGGTGCTATCACATACCACTTACAAGACATCCCCCCAGATTTGAGGCGTGTAATTTAATAGGGGTGAAAGCCATTCCAGTGGCATTGTCTACTTCTATTTTAGAAAAAAATACCGTTTTTAAGGAAATAATTCCAAGGGAGAAAGGTCACACAGACAAATTAGCTTCTCCAACAGAATATTTGAAATAAAGGCCGTCTGACGCGAAAAAAACTACTGATAGATTCCTACTTAGACGCAGTTAGAACAAAGGACTGAGGAAGCATAAGCCGTCTTTCAAAATATCTGTTGGAAACATTTTAACCTGACTTATTATTGCGTGTGTTTTTGTCTACGGTTGGTGACCGCAAATATTCCAGCGGAAATATGGGAGGGCAAAGGGGAGGAGGGGTGAACTTGGTCCAACAAGTATCACTTAGAGAACACAAAGATATAAACAAGTAGAGGAGGATAGACTAAGGCAGTGTCTTGCCAATTCGTTAAGCCCGCGGCACTGAAAACGGAGTACATTTTCATACCCACGCATTAATTGAAATTCCAAAAGCAAATATTCTGCTCCCATTATACAAGAAAAGTATGGAAAGGGTAGGCAGAGCGCCAACGGTGCAAAATATGTCAAAAGTGAAGGTATACCTGAGGGACGCGTTGGAAAGAGGCGTTGCTGGAGAGGATGTGGCGCAAACATGTCTTCAACCTACTCCCAATGTTGTAGGTTGGAAAGCTATTCTTGCACCATTCCCAAATTTGCGAAAACTCCAAAGCCTTCGACTGGGAAGACTCAATGGCCATGAAGGCCAATTGAGCATAGGTGAAAATGGGCTTTTCCGAAAAGTTTGTGCGACCCCTCTTGGAAGGAGACCCACCGGCTTCTTCTTCTTGTTCCTCCTCTTCAGTATCTGCTTTACGTCGAAGACACGGTGAAGATCTAGCAGGCAAGTTATTCGCTTTATTGAGAAAAAAATCTGGGTGGCAAAGAAGACGTTGAAAATTGGTTGGTCTTTGTGAAAGAAATACGGGCACGTTGTTGCCCTCGATGGTCTTCACCAGTCTCAAAACGGTGCTAGTGGGGCATGCAGTGGAAGCAGCAGGAGACGTGGCGAACGGAAGACGTGGAGAGGAACCGTCGTTGGATAAAGAAGGGACAGTTGGTTCAAAATTCTCTATCGGCGTAGTGGCGAGAGGACCTGGGGCCAAGTTTTCAGCAGTAACGGGAACCCTTTCGACGGACGAAGCTTGCATGGCGGAGTTTGAGGGCAAATCATCCTCACCGTCTATGGGAGATATCGGAAGCAGGTTACTATCTTGCAGCCAACTGAGAGAGTGTAAGTCTTCGTTTATTCTTTCATCGATGCTATGCACGCAACCAGCGGAACAGGTTGTCTGCAAGCAATCAATCTCAGCTAGAGGTTTATGCTTCGTTAGCTTCTTTGTTGGTCTTACGGTTCCAGGCAAAAAGATTTCAGTCTGAAGCCAGTCAAGAGATGAAAGTTCTTCGGCCAGAGATGCGCCAGGTGTCAATCTAGTAGTCTCGTCTTCCGGATGATTTGGAAGAGAAGAGACTTTGGGAGCGGAGTTAAGGGGCATCAACAACTTCTGTCTCGGCTGGGCAGCAATAGGATTTTCGATAACATTTTCGTTCATGTTGCATGAAATCTGTTTCTTTAAGAAATGAGGAAGCCAAGTAAAGACAACAGACGGAAGCGCATCAGCAAGCAAAAGGAAGACAGAAATGGCTGTTTTATGCCAGTTGTTTTTATAAGCGAACAATGTCCCAATCAGGTGCCTTTTATTTGAATCCAGACTCAGCTAGATATTGAGTTTTCGAGAACCAGGCTTGGGCGCCCGCGGGTGTTCACAAGGCAAGGGACCATAACAAATCGGAACAGACGCACCAACAATGACCTGCATTGCTGGGGCTATCGTTTTCGGACCACTTTTTTGCCAGCCTGCTATAAGTCAAGCTCCACGCTGGACAGATTTTAAAGTTATACCTAGGCGGGTTTAGTCAGCCAAGAAGGGTAGGGAAGGGGTTCAAAACTGGAACCAACCAAAAAGTTTAGCGGAAACGAATCATGAATATTTTGAAGTGGAAGTAAAGGAGTAGCCACTGAAAGAGTTTGGGTAGCTTGTGTCAGTCTTTGCATTGTTCGGCACTGAGGAAAGGTAAAATCGAGCCAAAAGACTGCAACGCAGGGGAAAACCGAACCCTTCTTACGCAAGAGCTGGTAAAAGCATTTACTACGCTTTAAAAAATTCGGCGTGAAAATGAAGGACAAAAGAAGCTGGTTAGGTATTGCGGGAGACACGCTTCACACTACGGTTACCAGAGTAATTGTTGCCACAATTTTTAGACTGAAGTTTGATTCAAATTCATACCGAAAAAGGTTCACGCTAGAATTAAGCCCCTAGATGCTGTTAAATTTCACAAATTTCAATGAGGAACGGAGGTGTAGACGGGTCCCTCGTTTCCCAATGAGAAAGTCCATTTCCTCCAGGGCTGCTTAGTGGCTGTGGCAGGCTTTTCCAAAGTATTCGACTGTTCAATGCCTGGCCGCACAGGAATTTTCTTCAGTAATAATCAAACTGAGTAAGCTTCGAATTAGGAAGTAACTATTGGACAGGCGCAACACACTAACCGGTAAACTGGGTGACCGAAAGCGTATGAAGCTGTTTAGGAATTAAACAGCGACGAATTAAGCAGATCCCTTTTACATTTGCCACTGAAGTCCACACGCAATATATTTCAATCAGTCGTTGTTGAGATAAGTATTTGTGCACAGTGCGGGTCTGCATTCCGTGCAACGGGAACCGTCAGTAAGGCATTTTGCATCTTACATTTAATTACCTGCTAAATACCTAGGCATCCATAGTTACGGCACAGTGACTTATAGGGTACCTTGTTGCATACAAATATTGTGAAGTATTATCAGCAGGGCTGCCGCCAACACGTTAACAACTGAAGGATAGGATATTCAGACAGATCCTGTAAAACTGTACATCTTTGAGGGCGGAAAGCAGTCAGATTGTGGGTTACATTCTTAGAAGACTACTACGTCGACCTACTCATACATGTGTAAATGTGCAAATTAATTCGGGAAAAACGAAGGGTTAAAATGAAGAAAACTCCAACGGTCTCAAATGGTTCAGTCACATATAATCAGATTCCAAGGGAACAGATCCGTCCCATGACCGCTCTAGATTCCCACTCTACCTTGCAAGACTGCATAGCAGCCAGATAAAGGTCGAAACGACTTTGTTAAGGAGGATTTGGGAGGGATGTCGATTCTGGGTCTTGAATTTTCCATGACAGTACATTAGCAAACGGCAATATCGACAATCAACGCGTCCAAAACGTAACATATTTTACCATACGTGTTGACCTTTTGAATGCTAGAGCCACGTAGAATACTACTGGTGGTAGTTGTGTGGTGGTCAGTATGGTAGATACCACGAAATGTATATGGTACTGGCCACCTGTTGGCAGTTTGTGAATATTACGCGGTTATCCCGCTGAATCTAATGGATTTCGGTTTAAGCATTCACATGGGCTTGAGGACTGAGCCTACAAAGTTTCATTCCGAAAGATTTGCTAAAGTTAGCGTATCAATTTCTGAGATAAAGATGCTGAAATATGAAAACCGGTAACTACCAGAAAGCACACGTGGAACGCTGGGGGATTCACTGATGAGTCGAACCCTTCGCAGCTGTGTCCTGCTTTGGCAGAATATCGGCGAAACACGTTACTAGGATTTTAGTTGGTACCTGTACTATCATTATGGTAATTCAGACAACACGTGGGCGTATAAGTACAGATAATAAGACAGACAATCAGTAAATATCGCGTCGAAAATCAGGCATAGTTAAGACGTTCGCAATAACTTGTGTCAGATTCAAAGGCACTTCCAGAGGCGAGAGGATATGTGCGAGAATGGCACGCGTCCCTGTATGCTCCCTGACACATTCTTATCGACAGCACAAAGAAACTGAAGTAAACGAAAGAATCAACGGTCTCAAAACTCCTCGAATTCAGGACGATCAAATGTACATCCATTGAGTGGAGCTCTTGGGCAGCATAATTGGTTTTACTGCGTTCTCGTTCAATACAAATGTCCGTGGGACCCGAAGAAGAAGATTCCAAAAGCACAATGAACACTCAGGGGATGCTTTGTTGTGTGTGGACGACCTCGTAGTTGTGGAGCGTCACGGTCACAACCGCATCCACTGAATAGTCAAATAGGAGTGGCGGGAAGAGGCAACCTTGTCGAGAGCATGGTGAAGTAATCGCGCCGATAGTCGCACACCCGGACATGGACGACCAAGTTCACTAGTGCTACTATCGTGCCCGAACATCCCCATTTTGGGCATGTGTAGTGAGACAGAGTAGGTGGAAAAGGAGCAAGCAAGTTGACATAAACAGCACTGGCGAAACAGAGAACGCCACAAGAAAACAGGGACGTAGTGCCCCAGATGTTGGCAGTTTCATATAATTTAAAGCGGCCAACCTCGTCCGAGCGATTATTTCGACCTTCCTTACCAGCACGGTGGCGCTAACCATGTGTGAACAGGACATGCTGCAGGGCACGGAGAAATTTCACATATTTGAACTTTCCCTGTGTCTTGCGGTATGTCATATGATATATGTCATCAAATGGTGACGAAAACTATTATGACGGTAGAGTAATTACTGTACTCAATTGTATGCAAAAACGGAAAAATGTGTAAGCTTGCAATATTCTTCCCCAAACAAAAAATCTGATTCTATGTGAGCATTGCGTGAGAAATTCGTGGCCTGAAGTGGGGTGAAGAGCAATATAGCTCGAAAAAGAAAAAGCGTGGGACCACTGACAGCCTTTTAGCGTCAGCCAACCTGAAGAAGCCGTGGTAACACCACACCAATCAAATTAAGATGTTCGTTGAAGTTTGTATGTCATTGGACATAGTCTGTAGCCAATAACTTGGGACCTGAAGTTTGGGCGGAAAGTCTGGATTTTCGAAAGTTCCGGTTATATTTTAAAGTACAAAATTCCGATCGTTTTTGTATTAATTTTCTGAAAGCACGTTTTTTCCGGTTCTCTTTAAAGCGAATGGCCCAGAAAATGAAGCAACTGCGATTGTGGAGGGACTACACGTCCCGTCATTACAGCAGCCTGGTGACGCCCCAAATCACTCCACACGGTCTGCCCAGTTGTGTGCGTTGTGTGAATTGGCGGACTGGTGGACCGAGAGCCAGGTTGTCACGATCCCTTCTCAAGGGATCTTTAACACTCTCATGCATGGAGGAGAGCGTGTTTGATTTATGGATATTGCCTCGGATCTGGTGCAGTTGCGGACAAAGCAACTACGTCGGAGAAACCGAAAGATAACTCCAGATGCGAATGGCCGAACGCGCTGCAACGGTGCGGAGGAATGACGCTAGCTCTAGAGTTGCGGCTCATTCGACGGGTTCCGGCCACACATTCAAATTCGACGAGACCAAAATTCTCGCAAGAGATGACAACCGCATGAACCGGGAGCTGCTTGAGTCATGGTTTACTGGCCCCCAGTCTATTAACAAGTGTAATGATCTTCCCATTCAATATTCCATGCTGAGTCTTCGCCTAGGCGGAGTAATTGGCTACGAGGGGAACGCACAGGTGAACACTCTCCCCAACACTCGAGTCAGCGTGTCAGATGGTCGAGCAATCATCACACCAACATCCAACGCACGTGATGAAATTGCAGTAATTAACACGCGAATGTCGGCCATCACGCCACGTGCAACGATCCCTGATGAGGGGACCGAGCCGTGAAGATTCATAGGTATGCGGTAGCATGGCTACTGCATCCTATAAATACTGTAGTCGCATGTGCATGAACCATCTTTATCTGCTTTTATCTCTGATGATGGATTCGAGCAGGAATCCGAAACGTCAGGCTAATAAGGCCCTGTCCCCGGCGATCGTGTCTTATTCTTCTTCAATATTGTCTCTTAGTCGACGACTGTTTGGTTAATGACTGCATCAGCGAAGTGAATTGTTAGGCTCTCATGTTCGCGGACGACATAAAAATATGGAGTGAAGTCAAGTGTGATGATGACGCAGAGAATTTGCAGTCGAACATCAACAAACTGTGTGCTTGGTCGAACACATGGCTTTTGAAGTTTAACGTGTCCAAATGCGTGGTTTTGCACCTGAACACCGGCCGCAATGCCTCTCCCAAACACCAGTACTATATTGACGGGACGAGGTTAGAAACCGTGGAAAGACACAGAGATCTGGGTGTATGGACAACCACAAATCTATCGCCATCAGAACACTGTAGAA